TACGCACTCAACATTGGTGATTTCTATCCTTCATATCCTGCACTTACTTCTCGGGCTTTGTCTAGAAAACAGTTACAATGAGGAAAAAGGAAGGACTTTCAGATTACCGATATTTTCCAGAGCCAGACCTGCCTGGGGTTACTCTTGCTAAAGATTACGTTGATAGCATTCGTAATTCTTTGCCCGAACTTCCAGAAGTGAAGCGCAGAAGGTATGAAAAGATGGGACTCAGCATGCAAGACGTCCTTTTCCTTGCGAACGATGTGAACGTAAGTTCTTGCTTTCTAATGCAGTCATGAAGGGTCTTACTTATCGTGGCATGTTTTAATGCAATTCTTTCCTAAAACCCGACACCTCGTGTGAGCTGCCTAAGGAAAAAATATACCAGTGTAGAAAGAATGAAATGGAAGCCAGTGGCTAAGGCAGAAACACTATTTCCAAATCAGACTGACTTAATAAAAGGAAAAAAAACAAAATTTGATGGTGTGAGTTCTTTCATTTATTGCTAGGACTCCACCCTAGCATTAACGAGCTAAATTTTCTCGACTGTGACTTCCAAATCTTTTACCAGTATCTCATACTTCATACTGAAGGCTAATATTTTCTGAAAGATATTGAGGAAGGATAGAACACACATTGGTTACTGACCTCGAATCATAGTCTCTGCATGCAATGTGTCCGCTTTTGTATTTCCAATTCATGGTATGATCACTGGTTACTGACCTTGAGTGGAACTAGTGTTTGCTAGTCTAAACTCTCTCTGACATTTGTTTTGCCTTTTCACTGGTGAAGGTAGCTGAGTTTTTTGATGCAACTATTGCAAAGGGCGCTGATGTGAAGCTGGCAGCCAACTGGATAATGGGCGATATTGCTGCCTATATGAAAAATGAAAAGTTGTCCATCGATGAGATTAAACTTACGCCTCAAGAGTTGGCAGAGCTGATAGCTTCTATTAAAGGAGGGACTATTAGTGGGAAGATAGGTAAAGAGGTAATACATGCTCTCAAATATATGCTTTCCAATTCTGGTACTATTTCTTAACTAATTCTGCAGCTGATAGTTATTGTGTTCTGGGACTTGTACTTGTGCAACTCGTTGCGTCAGTAGACCGATTTCTTGTGTCAAATATATGGGGGTCTTGCTACAATTGTGGTTGGATCTTTCTACCTAATGTGATCACGATTTTTCCTGTTATTTTTAACTATTAAATTTTGGGGATGTGTGGGAGGGGGATTTACTATTTTCTTTGACTAGTAGAACTGAATATGAGTACCATTTTTGTTTGTAAATGTTATGTTAGTTTTGTTGGACAGATCCGTCTTTTGATTGTTAAGGATTCTGTCTTTCCTGATCAATGGAAGGGTTGGGCTGTATGAGTTTTTCTTGAAGAACAGATCTCAATGTTGCTATTATCATTCATTTTGGTGCAGATATTGTTTGAACTAATGGCTAAAGGTGGAACAGTGAAGGGAATGATTGAAGAAAAGGACCTAGTCCAGGCAAGTTCTTTTCTCTACTGTTAAGATCTTGGGTCTCGTTGAACAGATTCAGAACTAGGGTTAAAATGACCTTAGGAATAAATCTGTAATTGAGGCTGTGGTACAAAGTAACAAACTAAGCCACTCATATTAAACCGGGTATTCTGAACAGGAAATGCAAGCATGCTTATGTGCCAATGGTTTCTGTCTGTGTACGCGTGGATGTGGGTGCAGGCAGGCATGTGTAGTTGTCAATACATGCGTGTGCTTCGCTGTGTGTGTATAGGTACCCATATAGTTGTATATTCTATAGGTATATGTGGTGAATTTGGTGGAGAGATCAACCAGTCTTGTCAATAGTTTTGCCTTTGTGTTTCTTGAATCAGTATCTGGAGTTTTGCATGTCTTGGAATTGAACAGTTTGTGACATTTACTGCAACTGAAACTCTCTGTGCCATTGTGATTTGGATGAGTTAATTTAGTTTGCTGTTGATAGCATTCACGGTTCTTACCGTGCTTCTCTTCTATATTGATTCATTTTTGGTCTTTGATAATCTGCACAAAGTTCATTCTATCTGTAACAACTAAGCATCAGTGTAAAAAGTAAATCTTAGAATGCATCTTCGATGGCTTTTAAAAGTAGTTAGTGCTCCCTGAGAGATGACATGGTATTGCATAGGAGCCTTCTCAATCATCCAAGAATCAGCTGCTTCTCTGCACTTTCTTTTAGTCTTCCTTTATACAAAATTTGCGACTAGTTTCTGGAATTTCTTTTTGGTGTATCGTGTGTCACATGTAATATTCGACTTTCATTGGTAAGTGATAATCCTGGTCACTGGGCAACCCATCCATTGCCATATTGAGATGCTTGTCGTCAGATATAGTTCTCCATGAATCTTATTACCAGAACTATGCATGTTAAAATATTTTGTGCTGGAGTTGGTGTCATTATCCCCTCGGATGTTTCACTCACTGTGTATAGTAACAGATCATCGATCCAGCTGAAATTGAGAAGATGGTGGACAAAGTGCTTTTGGATAACCCGAAGCAATTGGAACAGTATCGTGGAGGCAAAACTAAGCTTCAAGGCTATTTTGCCGGCCAGGTATAAGACAGTTCGCTGCCCAGGAAAAGAAGCTCGACTGTTGTGTTTTGTCCAATTTGCTTCTTCAGTTGAAATTCTCGTTTGCTCAATCAATGGCAAGATTATTCTGACTAGCTTCCCATATGCAGGTAATGAAAGCCTCAATGGGCAAAGCGAACCCAGGACTCCTAAACAAGATTCTTCTTGAGAAATTAAATGCAAAGAGCTGATGATTTCTCGTCATTGAGTTGATATCTATGCTGTTCGCCCCACTTGGAATGATGGGTGTCGGGAGACAATTCTCATTGGCTGCAGATGGTTTTTTGTGCTACTAATGCGATATCAATTCAGATCTCTACGAAGATTACTTACATATGGGCCACAACAGTAGCCTGCAAGCTTCTGAAGTCATAGATATTTCATGCAATGCCGAGTGTATGCCATTTAGAGGATGGAAGGCCGCAGGTACTGCCAAATGTCAACCTCTCTCTCTCTCTCTCTCTCTGTTTTATTGGCTGCTTCTTTTGGTGGTAGCCTATAGAGGATTGGTTAACATCAAATGGGAAGGTTGACAAAAATTCTTACTCTTTGTACATCTATTTTGCAATAATCTTCCTTTCAATAAAACCAAGATTAACAGATGTATTTCTGAGATTTGCCATTTTATGGTTTCTATTGATTTCTTGTTTGAACGTCTGTTCTTTCTCCTGTATTTTGGAATAACGGTAGTTAGATTTTGGAGATTGTTATTCGCAGTTGGCAGTCCTCATTGTCATTGCAAAACTTGGTTGTCCTAGTGTGCAGTAGCAGCATCTTAACTTGTAAAATGAAGTGGCTTGTCTTCTGCAACAAATAATGGAAATCGTTGCTGCATTAAGTTAATCCATGTCTATATAGGTGTTGGCATGTGGCGTCATGCTAATTGTGTTGTGCTGAAATAGTGTAATGCCAATGTGGGTAACCCAAACACGATACCTTTAATAAACATGTCGAATTGTCCACACAAACACGACACGCTTAATAAAGTGGGTCATATGGTATTAGGGGTGATCATTTCATGGTGGGTCGGTTCTTGGACCAAATCTCGGAACCTACCATATAGGTCCCGATCCTGAAAAATTGGAATACCGATTATACTTGGAACCGGTTTATGCTAGGCCGATTCGCGATCTAACGGTGAATTGAGTTTGTTTTGTAAAAATGAATAATCAATATATTATTTTTTTTTTACATACTACAAGTCAAGTCTTATTAGTTGAGTGGCTTTATGCGCTTGTTTCAAGCTGGAGGCCGTGGATTGTATCTCACTTCTATTTTTAAAAAAAAAAAGTGCAAAAGCCACCAAAAACCTAAACTATGTTCGTTGTGATACATTTACCATAAAATTTTTTCCGTGACACAAAAAATTTCAAATTTGTACCAGTGTAACACATTTACCCTCCATTAACATTTTGTCAATGAGAACCGAAAAAATCTACTTACTTGAACGTCAGAAAGCAAACAATGTTGACATGATAAAAACGACGTAGTTTTTGCTAAAAAAAAGCTAGCGGAACCTTATCACATAGGTACAAATTTGAGATTTTTTATGTCACATGAAAAAAGTTTAAAGTAAATGTGTCACGGTGGGCATAGTTTGAGAGTTTTGATGTCACGAAAAAAGTTCAAGGTAAATGTGTTACAGTGAGTATAATTAATTTTTTTTTTGTGAATTTTTTCCTAAAAAATAAGGTATTATATAGGGCTGGTTCTATACTGGTTCGGTCCTGAAACTGCCGGGCCTATTTTGAGGAAAGGGCCCGTGTTTGGATAGCATAATCAGCGTGATCATTGACCGGTGTAATAAGATTGGATTTTGGGAAAATTTTCGAAATGAAGTTTGCCTACGTTTGTGAGCTACCCTCACTTTTACTCGTGACTTCTTCCAAAATTTGAGAATAAAAACAATGTTATTTGAGTTTTAAATAGGGTTAATATCACGAAAAATTCAAAATTGGTATATCTATAACAAATTTATCAAAAATTAATTTTTTGATCACTAAAAATCCAAAACTGGTACATTTGTGACAAATTTACCTTCCGTTAGTTTCCGTTAAATTGGATTAATATCACAAAAAATTACAAACTGGCAAACGGAGAGTAAAACCCTAAATTGGTATCTTGTTAACTTCCATGTGTTTTTGTCCAAAAAAAAAAAACTTCCACGTGTCATTCAACTCTGTAATTTGACGATAAAATTTAACAGAGAGTAAATTTGTCACAAATGTGCCATTTTAGATTTTTTGGTGGTAAAAAAATTCTATTTGACATTTTTCGTGGTACTAACCTTTTTTAATATTTTTGCACGTTTCTGAGTCAAATATGAATTGGGCCTATGGAGCATCCGGCCCAATTCGGTCCAAGCCCAACCGAATTCCTCCCCAAACGACGTTCCTTCCTCCTCCTCCTTCTTCAACCAGCAAAACGAGATCGCCTCACCAGAATCCCTCTCTCTCTCTCTCTCTGCGTGTTGAAGATCAAAGGATGGAAATGCGAATTCGCAGCGCTCTTCTGCTCCTGTCAATCTCTTCCTCCCTCCTCCTCATCGCAAAGGTGCGTCGCCGTTCCGCATCCGTTCGTCGTCGCCGCCGCCGCCGGCGATTCGCTCGCGCGCGCGCGGGGACCGATGGCGTGTGTTTTTTCGTGCTCTTCTCGATTTGCCTGCCGTCGTATCGATCTACGCGCTCGCGTTGCTGATTAGATCGTTGATTTCGCCAGGCTGAATCCGGCGGTTCCGTTTTCTTCGTGGATAGCTCGAGTCGCCAGTATCTTCGCCATCGATCCCCTGACGATGCTTCTGAGGTAATCCAATGGTAGAGCGAGATGAAATTGCTTGCGAAGTAGGTCTAGCTGCCGCTGGGTTTCATCGATGTCGATTTCTTAGCTTGGTTGTGCTCGGAAATTCCGTAGTGTTTAAGCTTTTGTTCGGTTGCTGGGAGAAAAGGGGAAGTGGAATAGAACTATTGGCGTTCCGTCAAATTGATGAACTATCAATATCTGCTTGATCGGATTTATGTGCATAAGATTCTACTAGAGGTTGGAGGAACAAGTAAGTGAAATCGATAGCATGGAGGTCGAAGGAATTGTTCGAGATGAGTCATTGTTAAGTCAAAAGTGAACTGACCATATTGTTTATTTTTGAGCTTTATTTGCGGAACGATTTTGGGGTAGTAAGTTTCCTGTAACCCTCCCTCGTGCCATTGATCTGGATAGCGGTGACTCGTGATTTACCAGTAATTAGCGAGTCCGACATAATTCAGTTGCTGATCAGTTATCCATCCATAATTGTACTAAAATTGACAATTATCTAGCTTTATTTCTGGAATTGATTAGCTTTTGTGATATATACATGTTGGCATACATTTCTTTGACTCTACATATCCTACTCCTTTGGCAGTTCGAATCAGTGTCGCCATCTGAAGTTGGTGCTGCAGTGTCAGTACTACTTGGCTTGGCACCCCCTGTTTCGCTTTCAGCTACTGGTTCTTCCAAGGTTTATTCTCTGCTCATTCTCACAATATGATGATTTTAGCTTCTTTCTTGATGTCAATCTTTTCAATGAAATGTCTTTGACTAATTTTTGACACCTTCATAGTTGAATGAGGTTCTCATGCCGAATCCGTTCGATAGACCTCGTGCTGCTTTCGTCTTGGAGGTGACAGGAGTTGAAGGTCTGGTTGGCTGTCCGTTTTCCATGTAACCTGTAGTCTTGAGTGTTTTTTTGGCTATAACATGTCTGTTTCCTTTGTAGATCTTCTTCCCTTGTTCAAATCCAATCTATTTACAAATGCCTTCACGGACAAGGTTATTTCCGGGTCAGATAAAGCTGAAATTCGACTCCCAGGTACCCATTTCTTTTTTAGAATGGATAAGGGTACTTTTCCAAGCAATAAGAACAAAAAAAAAAAAAGAAGAAGAAAAGAATAAGGCCATCCTGCTAAGTACTCTTGGTTGTTTTTTGGATTATCATTTATTTACTTTACTGCAGAGGAAGAAGCATTGTTAGTTTCCCTTGACGAGTCCTCAGCATCTGATTTTGCATCTCTCAGCGATGATGAAATTGGCAAATTTGTAAGTTAGGAGTTAAGAATCCCTGTATTCGCTTTACTTTTCTTTTCTTTCTTTTTTTTGTTCTGCACTATTATGTTAACGAATGATTTAAACTCTGTATCTGTCTAGGCATCCTGGATGGGTGGATCTTATGTCACCGATATGTCAGAATCGTTAAAAGGGGAGTTGACTTTCCCTCTAGGAAACGGCGCGAAGATGAGTCTTCATATGTCAAAGGTTTTTTTACAGAATCCAAATATTTAAAATTGCCTCTATTTCTAAATATTGCTTTATAAGTCGCATTCCTTACAATACCTGTCATCTATCGTCTTAAATCACTTTTTTTTGGTGAGTTATGGTTTTGCGCTAGAATCTGCTCTCTAATCTGCAAGGGTTACATTCTTTCTTTTCCTGCAGGAAGCACATAGGAAATACATAGCTAGTCTTATGTCTCTTGTTCATGGTGTAAGAAGGGCCATTGATATGCATGAAGATTTTTCACAAGGCACAAGAAGACCTGCCGAGTTGATCAAAGGCTGTTTCGACGGTATTAAGGTAATAATTTACTTCTGATATGTCTTCTCTCTTTGAGATTATTTGCGAGACAATGTTTGTAAAAGCCAAGAAGCCTGCTAATAATGAGGGTGCATTGCTTCATAGTGGAAGCTAGTTCTTACTTGACGTGTGGTATTACGTCAAAAATGGAGTTAGTGATGCACTTAGATATGCTGAAAGTGAATGTCAGTGGAGAACTTGGCTTTGTTAAGACTCATTTTTTGAGGGGAGGCTCCTCATTCCTAGATATATGTTTTTTTTAAGTGACTTATGAACTGATGTTTTGTAACACGTATAATATCCAAACATTAAATTTGAAGTTAGCCATTGGGTAACTTGTTTTAGGATTGTGATACTGTTCTTGAACTGCACTCTTATTGATGCAATGAAGCACAATTCTTTTTAAGCATCTACAGTTTTGCTACTGATCTGGCAGTATTTGGTTCTCATGAGACTGGCTGGCTGTTATTTTAGAGCATGGTATAAGGTGATATTCCTCCGGTTATAATCATGCGAAAGTGTGATTTCTTTAGATACTTTTTACCGGGTGTTCCCTGTTCATATGTTGGTTATTATAATAATGATGTAAGAATGTTTCGTTTTGGTTTAGGGATCAGTGTATTGAAAGCCCTAAAACTTGTCACAAAAGTGCTATTGAGTCTTATAACTTTCAAAAAATGCAATTAAGTCGTAAAACTTGTCACAAAAGTGCAATTGAGTCCTAAAATTCTGAAAAATTTCAATTAAGTCTTAAAATTTATCAAATTGGTCCAATCATATCCTTTCGTTTATTACACTTTTTGAAAGTTTTAAGGCTTAATTGCACTTTTGTGACAAGTTTTAGGACTTGATTGCACTTTTTGAAAATTTTGGGATTCGATTGCACTTTCGTGACAAGTTTTAGGACTTCCAGTGCACTTATCCCTTTGGTTTAAGATGGTGCTTTGTCCGGGATTAATAAAAGATTGATTTCCTGTCATCATCATCATTTATAAGGTGTAATTTGGGTTTGCCACTGAGTATGCTTTAGAGTATGTACGAAGAAAGGTCTGTTAAACATTTCTGCTGTTCTATTATCATGCTTATGATGTGGCAATGTAACTTCATGCCTAAGAATGCCTGCTTGTGTATTTCTGTACTTACTATATTTGGGCCTAGGCTTTTGAGGAATGATGGAGTGACTGAGTCATCTCCCTCCAATCTCTCTCTCTCTTTCTTTCACACACACGCGCACGTGCACTTCAGAAATAAGCCCGAAGAATGGGAAATGAAGCTGTCCACCATGAAGTAATGCGTCTGATGTTTATTCTTGTAATTAGCGTCTCACGGGTTTTTCGCCCTTGTTGGTGCAGGTCTTAAAAGAGGAGCATGAAACTGAAGGTGTTGCTGAACAAGGATTACTTGTATTGCTTGCTACCTTGTCCAAGTCATATAATCTTTTGCAGGAAGCATACAAAGGTCAGTTTTGCTTACCTATAAAATTTACTTGGTGACTCTAGTCTCCAACAATTTGGTGATAACAAGTCAAGTGATGAGAAACTTCATGTAAGCAAGCAGTCTACTCAGATGCTAGCATATTTCTCTGTCTGAAACAATGTTACTGGCGTCTCTGTACGCCTTTGAAAACCTCAATCCTGGATCATCATTGATTTTGGGTACATAGATGGCCAAAATTGGCGTATGGACCAAGTCCACCATGTATTCTTGATTAAAAAAATATCAACACGAACATAGTCTAGGTTTGTCTAAACGAAAACCTTCTGCGATTCAAACATAATTTAGGCTTTTGTAATCATTGAAGACAAGTTGAATTGCTAATGCTATTAGTTGATTTGATTAAAAGTAGTCATTGTTGTGGTGTTTTGAACAAAAACAGCTTAAATGAACTACCGTGACCTGACTTAGTGAACTAGCTAAGCCTACCCTAATGCATCACTTCACAACAAGTGGTGTATCCACTTCCTGTACAGTGACCCCCAAGCATACATGATCTAGTTAGTTAACTATGGCCCAAAATGAATTTTCCTTTTCTGAAAAACGACGATAATGAAGTGATACTTCAAACTTGCTATTAATCTTGAGTAGGCACTCATTCATTCTCATCTTACTTTCCCACCTGGAGTGACTTTTAGTTTTTAACTTATTTATCTCAAATCTTGTGGCTCATGCACTTTTACATTTATTTAACAAGAAACACTTTAAAACCTTTCAAAACGTATTAATATAGATATGTAGAGATTTTTATATCATGTTTTCAGTATATTTTAAAGATTGAATAAGATTTTACGTTTTTTTGACCCAAAAAGTTAAAATAAGATTTTACGTTTTGACAGTCAATAAGTTTCTTTTATCTAGAAAAAGTGCAAACAAGCGGGCAATTATGGAATTTCCACATTCCATATTGGCAATAGTGATTCTGACATGCATGACTGTGTTTGCTTACGCACGCTGGTGATGGGTTGAGCAGCCGATGTTATGTAAATGTTTTTCAAATTTTGGTTCATAAATACCCAATGCATACTGCCATGGACAGGTCAAATTGTTGGAGTAATACTTTTGGGCAATGCGGCCTCTTCCCAGTCAGATTCTTTGGTAGATGTGACTTTTACTTCTCGGTCATCAGTGCGATGGTTGGCAGAAACTGAAGCCTTGGCAAATGCAACTGAAGCTGGAGTGGTGTTAGTTAGACTGACTCTTGCCTGGGTGACTGGGCTTATTCTTCTTATTTCCACTCTCTTGGGGGTAAGATTCATCATTTTGAAGTTCAGTACTTTTCATTGCAAGAAAGCAACATTATTTTTTTTTTTTTTGTGGAGGCCCGTTCAACACTCTCCTTTGTGATACTGTGCAGATCTATCTCCTTCTGAACATGCCTCTAACAAGGGACACCCTCCTGTATTCGAATGTCAAGCTTGACTAAGCAAATGAGCAGTAGAGACAGTCATGGATATTTCCGACTTGGAGAAGATTAGCTTATTAAATCTGCCAAGGACAGGCCTGTTTATGTGGGCCATGCAATCTCGGTCCGATCATGTTGTATTGGGAACCCCTTTCTCATCGTAGTCGTTAATATCCCATATTGAAGGGGGTTCCTTATTTCTCCTAGTCCTGAGTGGACATTCTGTAGCTAATGGGGCTTTTCTTTTTGGACCCAGAAGGTTTAGGGATTACCTTAAAGTCATGAGAAAAGCAATTATTGTTCATGTGTTCGTTGTCTGTGTTGTATATGATCGTCGTTTGACATTGCGTGCTCTTCAATACCCATTATGTGAATTTGATGCTGACTGAAGTAATCTGGGCTTGGCCGTTCTGTAATTCTTCTTTTCGTCGTACCTCTGATTTTTCTCCGAAACTACATCTCTGCAAGGAGTTCTGCTTTTATGTGGGACACGATCTGATCTAACGAGCAGTAATGTGTAGTCTATTATGCTTGCAAATTATGGGTAGTTTGCCGTGGACACAAAAAATGCACCGACGAGCCATACAATGCAAGGAATCGTGCATCGTACCAGTCCTGTCCTGTAGTATGTTGCTCCGAGAATACGACCTTTGATGCTTTTGTATGGAACAGCCCCATCGACCTTAAGCCTCTCGCTCGGTGACGGGGCTCAATTTGGAGCTACTGTTCTACTGAACTTCCCAGCAGGCATTGAAGGACATGCAATAAGATTTACATGCTGAAATGGTGGATGTGGGAATTTGGTGCCGAAACATGACGTCTGTGTTCAAGCAAATGACACCTCTTAACAACACACTTTTGACAGGAGGAACGTACAGATTACAGCCGCATATGATACCAAAGCATGCGAACCATCACTCAACAATTGTAGCAAATTGGGAGTCCCAGAAGCATTTCTGAAATTAATAACCGTTGCGGTTGGAGCATACATGACCTCGGAGATCGTGTTGAGGGCTTGGAGACAGCATCATGTCGTCGCATTCATAAGATTTTCCTATGAGGCAAAGCGCTTCACACGGATTTCTCATGTACAGACCTTAAGCTTCGGTATCTGGAGCCTGGAAAACTCTGTATTCAGGAATGCTTTGGCTCAGGAGGAGGCTAACAAAAGTTTCTATTTTCATCCGAACATGCATACTTTTGTCTCGGGTTGTTTAACGCGAGTTTGCCTGTTATATAGAACCTATCCGTGACCACCATATTCAGGAGATTGGGCATATTACTCTTTGTAGGGGTGAGCAAGATGGCCAGACAGGACCGGGAACCACCTGGACCAGACCGGACCAGCCAGTTTAGTCCGGTTCCCGGGAGTGTCGGTCCGATTCTCAGTTCCTTAAAGTGGAACCGGTGTCCAGGCGGTCCGGTTCCCGGTTCCAAGGGAGGAACCGGACTGCCTGGACCGATTGTTTTTATTTATTTATTTTATATTTTAAATGTCACATTGCCAAAGTCATTGGGGGTTTAACAGCGGCAACGATTTGCAGGCGAGGGGTTTGGCGTTGCTGTGGGTAGTCCAAACGTGGTCGTATTGCTTTGGCACGACGAAGATTACCCCTTCGCGGAGAGGATTCACCTTCAACGAGTTAGCCTCGAACCTGCAAAAGGAAGAAAAGTTACTGGGCTTTTCTTTTCGGCGTTTCCATTAGTGAAACTGAAACATACGAACTCTCTTTGTTGAGAATAGGAGAGAAGAAAGCCCCATGTCAGTCCAAGTCGTTCTTTGAATGCGAGAATTGCAGTAGTTGAGGCCTTCTCTGTGCACGTTTTCCTTCGTCAATGTTCTGAGTCTTCCCGTGAGCGCCTTCTTCGTGTAGTAATCCTTCAGAGATACCAGCACAAACCTCCCTGCAATGTTCTGAGTCTTCCCGTGTGTGCCTTCTTCGTGTAGTGATCCTTCAGAGAAACCAGCACAAACCTCCCTGCCTCCTTCTCGACTGGTTCCATTGGACCACCTGGGGACCGGACTGGACCAGTTGGTCCGGTCTGGTCCTGTTCCAGGTACCTCCGGTCCGGTCCACGGTTCCGAAAATTGGGAACCGGTCCCTCCGGTCTGGTTCCCGGTTCCGGGGTGAGACCAGACCGGATCGGGAACCAATCACCCCTAACTCTTTGGCAAGGAATGCTGTGTACATATGAATGCTCTGCACATTTGGTTTCAATTTCATGTACTAATCCTAGTATCCCAAACATATTCTTACTTAAAGAATTTCCCATTTTAGCGCACTTTAGGGTTTATTTGGTAATATTTCAATTTCTTCGTTTTCCTATTCCTTTGTTCTTCGGAACAGAAAAAGAACATAAATTTGTTTGTATACATTAGTCAATTTTTTTATTCCCCGGAATATATCAGTGGCTAGGGAATTTGGAACAAAAACAAGAAGTAAAAAAGAATATACTTTTTTATTCCTGGAAATAAAAAGAGAAACAAGGCCATTTTAGGGAAACAAGACTTAAGCCTTAAGCTCTAAGCCCTAAACTCTAAAGCCTACACCCTACCCCATTAACCCTAAACCCTAGACATTATGCCCCACTCTAGATCTTTAACCCTACATCCTAAACCCTAAACCTTACAATCTACACCCTAAAGCTCAAAAGGTTTATGTATATGTTTATTGTAATGCCCAAAGATTTACTGTCAACCTCATCAGTGTGAGTTATAAACTAATGGAACTCTCTGCTGCCATTTCCAGTCATCCTCTTTGGTCGATAAATTATTCTTAGTGCTTTGGTCAAACACTTCTTAAACAAAATGAGAGCCCTCATGCAACTTCAGGCGTTATGATCTTCTCAAGCACGCTGGACTAAGAGATGGTACCGAGCTGTCAACGAACCCTTGCACTACGATTCGTCGACCCCATGGCGGACTTTACTCATATAAAAGTTTTAATGCTAGTAAGTCCAGGATTATGATTTACCTCATCTCCCTCTTAATTTCTAGCGCAAAAGAAAAGACCAAAATGTATGTCCACAGCAATTAGAAGGACTAGAAATACTGCTTAATTCTAGATTTTATAAAAAGCATAGGCAATTAACTGTTTCAAATACAACCTGGGGCACTAAAAAAACATGAGTTAATACCACAAAAAATCCTAAACTGGTATACCTGTGACAAATTTATCATCCGTTAGTTTCTCTAAGATTTTATTGTCAAATTGCCGAGTTAAATGACACGTGGCAGCTGATGGGTGTACCAGTTTGGGGTTTTTGGTGGTAAAAAAATTAGTTTGGGGTAAAATTGTCACAGATATATCAGTTTAAGGTTTTTGTGGTCAAAAAATTGGTTTGGGGTAAATTTGTCACAGGTGTACAAGTTTGGGTATTTCGTGATATTAACCCAAAAAATTAATGGAAGTTGTCCAAAAAATCCTAAATATATTCAACGGCAGTCAATTCAGTCATAAATCTTTTAATTTTACTAATTTAGTCATAAACCTTTTGACAATTTACCAATTTAGCCCTAAACCTTTTGACGATTTGTCACTTTAGTCCTGTAAGTAAAATTTGGCAAAAAATCGCAGATGTGGATAATTTTTACAAATTTTTTTAATTTTTTGAAATTTTTCTTCTTTTTTTTTTTTCCTTTTTTTATTTTTATTTTCCCTTTTTCCCTTCGCCCTCCATCGTCGTGCCTCATCACTGGCCACCGGCGAGGGTTGCCTGACGCTGGTGAGAGCGACCCTCATTGGCCCATGTTTGTGGCCGGTCGCTGGCCATTGTTGAGGCCCAACAATCGGCAGAGGAAGAAAGAAAAAAACAGAAAGAAAGAAAAAAAGTTCTCAATTTTTTTTTAAATTGCAAAAAATGTCCATGTCAGCGTCGGTTATTCCACGTATCATGGCCATAATCTACGTTAGCGATTTCTAACCAAAATTAGCTGGAAAATTGATAAATTGTCAAAAGATTTATAAATAAATCGTTAAAATGTTTAAGATTAAATTAATACAATTGAAAGGTTTATGATTAAGTTGACTGCCATATAATAGATTTAAAACTTTTTAGACAATTTTTCCCACAAAATTAGGACCCTGACTTGACTTACCACGTGATCAAGTTAAGACAATATCGCACATGTACTTGATTATTACAAACACAATATAATTCTTCCAAAGACACCCGACGCTACATTTTGTAGGTGGATGTTATTCGAATCGCTCGAATTTTGTTGTCTTCAGAGAGGAACTCCTTGTACCAGGTTGCTGACCCATTTGGGTGTTCTCTGCAGTGTTTGGAAGTCATAATGCAGCCCAAATCGTATCATATATCCGTGTAGCCATTCGAAGTTGTCTAGCTGTGACCATATGAAATATCTCCTCACATCGGGCAAATTGTTAAAAAAGTATTAAATTTATTAAACTTTTGCTAATTTAGTCTTAAACCTTTTAATTGTGTCAATTGAGTTCTAAACTTTTTTACGTTTTGCCAATTGAGTCCATCCGACCAATCTTGGCTGGAAATCGTTGGCATGAATGCTAGCTGTCTTACGTGGCACGGCCGACGCTGACGTGGAGAATTTTTAATATTTTTTTTATTAATTTTTGATTTTTTTCTTTTCTTTTCCTTCTTTACTTTTTTTTTTAATTGTGGCCGGCGAGGGTCGCCGGGCCCTCACTTAGATCCGGGCGAGGCCATCGCGGCTGCAAGTGAGGTCAGTCTCGCATAGATCTAGGCAGGGTAGCCTCGCCCGCGGCCGCGATGTCATCGTACGGCTCGAACTATGGAGCAGCAATCACTATCCCAATCATTCCTCCTTGCTTTTCCTGATTATGAATCTTTGTTGAGGTTCAATAATTACATAACATATGTTTGTGACCGTTGCAAAAAACGAAAACGAAAACGAAAACGAAAACGTATGTATAAAAAGAGTGTCAAAAGTAAGATTTGTATTGAAGGTATGAAATTATGAATTGAGCTTCTTGGCCTTGATGTATGAGAACCTCAGTGATGAAAACCTTCATCGTGTTCATTCTTATGGTTTTTGAAGCATCAAAGAGATAAAGTGATGATGTCACTTTCATAGCTAAAAAAGCAATTGGTTCATTTCTGTTCTTTCTTGTTCTTTTATACTAACTCGCTTGAACACAACGTGGCGATAGTAATTTAGGTAATAGAGCCAGCTAATTCATAAAAAAGAATCAAATTCGTAGCTCTTCAACTTACCTGGTAATTAAAAAAAAAAAAAACTTACCTGGTAATACTTCTGGTAAATTTCAGAGGCTCCGGCATGGAACACCAGATTGTGAATCGCAGTGTAGGGTTCGAGAGTGGAGTTGCCGAATGAGCGATTGCCAAACCGGTAGGAGCACCGGTCGGGTGGGCAAGTCCCTGAGATGTAACCTTGATAGATGAACACGTTAGGCTCGTTGAATGTGGTCCGATACGTCACTCTATGAAAGCTTCGAAACAGACTTGTGCAAAGTAGCCGAATTCCAGCCTAGAAACAATTTCAAAACACAAAGTAAAATCCCGAGATTTGATTGGATCGTCATATTGATGAAGATTAGAAACGATGGTGGTGACAATTTTGCTTACTGTATTTCGGAACTCAACCACGAGCCATACCGGTCTTCTAGCAGTCGAGGAAAGTCGAAATGGTTCAATGTCACCAATGGCTTTGTACCTGTCAAATGAACATATTACAAAAGCTTAGAATGGGTAATTCATCTTCTTCCTAAAGTAATGACTGTGTACGAATGGTTAAATTGATTTATTGAAAAAGCATAAAGGAAAGAATCCACTCCTAGAGAGTAGTGACAGATTTGTGCATTTTGCTTTTACCTCCGACCAAAAGGGCATCGTTGAGATTGTTGTGGAACTCAATGCCTTCTGAATTGACCTCCCCAAATCTTCCTTCTAAAGTTAAATTTGAAACAGAATACGAGCAACTGCATGGCATTAAACTGATCAGAACAGAGCAACCATTACATACTAGGAAGAACTCAATAAAATTACATACTAGGAAGAACTCTAGACCAAGATATGGAAAATCTGTATGCATCCACCCCGAGATTATGCATCAACTCTATATTTTCCTGTTGCACATTGATATATCTCCACGAGATTAAGAAAAAATTTAAGCTTTGGTTAGAGGAAAGTAATCTTTCTGTGAGTACCCAAATCAAATTTAGTAAATGGGTACAGATAATTATCAAAGCTTCCAAGCTTGCAAGTCCTAAAAGCTAACTTACAATTTCAATCAGCCCAATTTAGTGTCAAAGTTGGAAGGTCAACAACTCTCCTATGACATTCTGGGCTGTTGATGAGTGTTCAACGAGAGCATAGAGAAAGTCAAGTATCATAAAGGAATTACAGTGATCATTCGTCGCGTCAGCGTTGCTTCCATCTTTTATTTTGCCTGATCCAAGGCAAGTCCATCCAATATCAATATTTATATATTGTAAAATATATTGCCAAAATATAAAAAGAAAAAACCTTTTCCATGAAAACACGAGTCTTTCCTTGTTAGGCACTCACATCAGACGAAACTTTTCAAACAAATATATACTGGGATTTTTTTTGCTTTTTGATATTTATTAAGGTACGGCAACTTGTGCATACATTGAATTAGTTCACAATGTGATGTTACGAACTTTCGATAGATACAAGTGGCATATATTCAAGCCGATAATAAGAGTTCATCGCATTACTTAAAAAAAAAAACGGTTTTTGTTACCCCAATTTTGTTACATCATACAATGTTTCCTCATATATGGACTAAACCAATTTTTATTATCTGGTCATTGACGATCTCTTGTATCAAACTATTGGTCAACCAATGATTGCTCAATGAAAATTACAAAGGAGGACTTTAGCAACAACCAACAAAAAAAAATTATAATTGACAGTCCACATAAAAAATGCAACATTCGCTACACATATTTCCCAATTTGTACGACAGATTCCGACCAGCCTTAAGGAGTGATGATTGGTAGCAGCTAGACATGACCAAACGGGCGGGTCGGGTTTGGGTCCGTCATAAATGGTCTGACCCAATTTGACCTGTTTATGACCAATTTATCACAATACAAATTTCTTGGCCCATACCCAACCTGACCCATTTAACCAAATCTAGGAAAGCTTATTTTTTTTTATGATTTTTAAAAAAAAATGTATTGCTAAAAAACTTTCATGAAATACAAATCTAGTGTACAATATATATATTTTAAAAAAATTGAGGCTGTTTGTTTCATGGAAAATGTGACATTTTTGGAAAATGTTTTTTAGGAAGACAATATTTTCTAATATTTGGCCGAAACTTGAAAATGAATTGAAAAATATTTTTCACCGTTTAGTATAAAAAATATAATTTGATTTTCCTTTTTGCACTCATTTTAATAATTTTAATTTTTTAAAAAAAATCATATTTTTATTATTTTTATTTTCTTCTTTTCTTTTCCTTTTTTTTTTCTTCTTTCTCCGTTAGTGGCCAGCCATAGGCGAGAGATGAGCTTGCAGATCTTGTGAGGACCAGGCCAGTGCTAGAGATTGGTGAGCTCGAGTCTCGCCAGATTGGCGAGGGTTGAAGCTTGCTAGAGGCTAGCGACGCCATGGCCGGCCATCGGTGGAGGAAGAAGAAAAAGAAAAAGAAAGTAAAGAAAAAAAGGAAAAGAGAAAAAGAAAATAAAAAAAGAAAAAAAAGAAAAGATAGAAATAAAAAATTATAAAAGAACTCAGAAAATTTAAAAAATAAAAATCAGAAAATTAAATATAATTAAAAATAAAATGTTTATGATTCACTTAGGTAACCCATTTATGACCCATTTAATATTTATTTAAGACCCATTATGTTAATAGGCAACTCATTTATAACCAATTTAAGTTTATTTTTAAAACTAAAGCTAACCCATTTATGACCCACAATCATTAAATATGAGTTAATATATGGGTTCTTGACCCATTTTGCCACCTCTAACGAGAACTTTTAAATATATTTGAAGACGAAGCATCTCCGAAATAAATTATCATTGCAGTACAGATTGTACGTGACCTAGAGATCGAGTTGGGGAACTGGAGAAGCATCAGTTGCAAGATTTTCCTTTGAGGCAAAGCATTTCACACACATTTCCATGTGCAGACCGTAAGTTTCAGCATCTAAAGCCTGGAAAATTCTGTATTGAGGAATGCTTTGACTCAAGAGGAGGCTAACAAAAGTTCTATGTTCATCCAAACATGCATACCAGGCCGCGGTAATTATGATTGCTCTACAAATTTATTTACAAAATAACGTGGCGCATTGGAATTAAGCAAGCTATATTTAAGCGCCTAACAATAATTTCACCCTTCATTTTGCAAACCAATTTCTTATTCTGATCCTAGTATCTCATTAATAGCAGCACTGTAGTTAACTGGAGTTCTTTCGAAGGCGTAGACACCTATATACCCCGGAAAGACGGCCGAAGCAGCTGGAAAATCATTTGCTGTGCTTTGGTCGAGCACATCTTCATATAAATTGAGAGCCCTAATGCGACTTCAGCCGTTATGATTTTCTTGAGCATATTGGACTAAGTGATTGGTCATCTGTGAATAGTGAGTTATCATCAAACACTTATATTACGATCCGTCGACCCGATTGGGGCACTTCACTCATATCAAACTTTTTTTGCTAGTTCAAATATTTTAATGCAACATGCATGTTCGCAGCAGTCGGAAGGATTAGAAATGCAGCTTAATTCCAGATTTATAGATGTAAATGACCCATTGTGTTTTAAAGCATCTGCAATTAACTGTTTCAAATACTGCCTGGAAACTAAAAAATTCCACGATAGATATTTTTTGTTAGACATCGTTGAAAGATATGATATATCTCTAACAGTTTTAGACACCCCCGATGCTACATTTTGTAGGTGGATGTTTTCCCATTCGCTCGAATTTTGTTGTCTCCAGAGAGGAACTCCTTGTACCAAGTCGCTGACCATTTGGGTGTCCTCTGCTGTGTTTGGAAGTCCACATAATGCAGCCCAAATCGTATTAAATACCCGTGTAGCCATTCGAAGTTGTCCAGCAGAGACCATATGAAGTATCCCCTCACATCTGCTCCTTTTCTGAAATAATAAGAATCGAAAATTTCATCGGGAACAAAAATGGTAACTATATAGACTCGGTTCCATATATGATGTGATGGACATAGACTGATTCGATACTAGGAAAATTGACATTCTCTAATCAAACAAAGAAAGAAAAAGACTGCAAAATCTGGGAGATTTTGGTGTGTTTCAATCATTAGGAAACTTTGATGGAAATTGAGGAATAGTGAAGGCATTCGATACCGGAAGAAACGCTAGATATACCTCACAACTTCACTTAAGACAGCGAGATACTTCTCGTGGTACTCTATTCTTGTCGTGTCGTTCAGCGAATCGTTGACCGCACTTGCAGGTTGCGCATACCCTGCGAAACAACAATCAGTCTTTTCGTTTTGTTGACGGAATCAATTGATCATCTTGTTTGGTAAACTTAGATGATGAAAAGAAGAGAAAAGTGTAAAAAAAGTCCTAAACCTTTTGCATTGGTGCCAATTTAGTCCTAAACGTTTTTTTGGTGCCAATTCAGCCCTAAACCTTTAGCATTTGTGCCAATTCAGTCCGAAACCTTTTTTTGGTGCCAATTCAGTTCTAAACCTTATACATTAGTGCCAATTCAGTCATAAACCTTTTGTATTGATGCCAATTCAGTCTTTCCGGCTAATAGCTATTCACGTGTCGAAGGAATGAATTAGCACAAATGCAAAATGTTTATGATTGAATTTGCACAAAAAAAAGGTTTATGACTAAATTGACACCAATGTAAAAGGTTTAGGACTTTTTTGACACTTTTCCCAAGAAAGGAAAGTTCAGTTCAGAGTTGTCTAAGTGACGCAATACCATTCTCAGTAATGAACATGGGCGTGTTGTTGTATCTCTCTTTGACATATGTAACGATCCCTTCCATGCCCCTCGGAACGATGAAGAAAGCTGACGCCGCGGTCTGCAATGTGATCATCAACTATTAGTGAAAAACGTATAAGCCTGACTGCGAAATCGACTTGAAATCAAGGCCAAAGAGCTGCTAAATAGACTCAAAGTCATATCTTCCATGCGGGTCTCAACGATGAAATTATAATCATTAGCTGCTTGTATCCGATGAAATGTTCATTATATATCTCTAATTTTTGCAAAATTCTATTTATGTATGTCCGGGCAAATGTGCTTATGTTTCTTACCTGTTCGCCGATGTAAACTCCGTCTTTTTCTCCAGTGAGATACACGGATGCGTTGTCACGCCCCGCACTCCTCGGCGCGCCACATCCCTCGCAAAGGTCGATTCGTGTGCGACGTCCCAGGACGCGTCGCCGACCCAACACCCAACACAGAGATTTAAAGCACATGCGGAAGTAATTAAAACCACCCGTACATTAAAATACACCTGACCAAGGATAGCCATACAACAACCAGCACGGATAAATATACACGTGTTTTGACATCGGGAGACATATATAATATTCATATACAGCCCACACTCAAAAATCAAAAGCGGGTACGTGGCTCGGCGATCAAACACTATATCTAGCCGGGGCTCCTCCCAAAACGTTTCAATACGCCTGCCATCCTCAAGGCTGGGGTTCTGAAAAAGTGGGTTTCAACAACAGTGAGAATAAATCTCAGCGAGTAATTCCCTAAACCTAAATTAGGCTAAAGTGCACCTCCTGACGAGTACTAAATCAACACACCAAGCAAATGATAATTGACTTAGGCCCTCGGGCCCAAATCCAACACTCACCTTGCCCTGCAGGTTAGGCACTTACAGATCAAGCATAAAACATAGGACCCAGTCGCAGCACATGTACACATCATTTGGTCACAACGCATGTCATGCTTATGCTCGTGCTCATACGCGTGCTCACGCCTCATCAATGCATTTTCGCACGCTTGCACTCTAGCATACTTGCCATTTATCAATTTCTCCTCCGACCCGCGTTAAACGCATCAGGTCCGACCCGCGTAAAACGCATCAGGTCTATCACTATCCAACACTTCCTGGCCCGCGTAAACGCATCAGGCCCAGTGTCTCTAGCCCGCGTAAACGCATCAGGCGCAACACCGATCTCCATATACAGACCGAACCCGCGTAAACGCATCAGGTTGGCCGTCTTCCGGCAATCCGGGCATCGTCCCGCGTTAAACGCCTCAGGACGGGTTCACTACCCCGCGTAAAACGCATCAGGGTTTATTGTGATCACACATTCACAAGCACCAATTTTTCATCTGAACCCCGTGTTAAACGCATCAGGGCATTTTAGGTGATCACAATGCACATGTCACTCGAGCACACTTGTAAATGCACATGCCGTGCCAATGCTCGTGATGCAAACTCATGGCCATAAACTTCACACTCGGGCATTCACTTGCACCGCACCACTTACTCAAATCATGATGCAATCATGCGCATTTGCACCACGCATATTCAATTTCATAAATCAACATGCCCAATCAACATATTAGCATGACCATGAAAGCAATTCAAAGCACTCTTGCACGGCACATAAATCACACAATTGAGTCAACATCAATTCACGCACTCGAGGCCCGGTAAGAGACTCCATTCTTAGTCACACTAGGCACGTGACACGGCACCACAAAATTGATCACAACCCAGTACAAATCAGCCACTTAGCCCGCCAACCTAAACATTCCCGATAATCACACAATTAACCTCCAAATTGATCGCTCATAGACCAATCCAAACCCGGTATGGACAGCCACCAAACAAATCGTCCTAGGCCAACAAATGTTCTCGAAACACTCCATTTGACTCCCCAAAATATCACTCAAATCAGCCACCATGAAGACCAAATGAGGCGCGCACTAAAATCCACATTTTAAACCCGAAACTTCCCAAACTTGGGCTAATCCGACCCAAATCTGTCCGGCCAATACTCGGCGCTTCTCAGGCTACTAAACCTCCATTCATTCATCACACTAACCCCATAGAACAGCCACCAAAACAGCCGCCATAACAGGCACCGTTTAGATCACAAGTTTCTCCCGCCAAATTCACAATTTGTACCCGAACCAAGGCGTCGACGCTCAGCCACTATCCAGCACACCACAAACCACTAAACCTCGATTAGAACATCATGCTAACCCACCGAATGCGCCACAACATCAGCCCTTAACAGCCTCCACAAACTAACCCCCAAATTGATCGCGCCTTGTCCGATTCAAACCCGATATGGACAACCACCAACAGGTCGCTCTAGGCCACTAATTATCCTCAAAACGCTCCATTTAACTCCCCAAAATAACATCCAAATCCGTCACCACGTGGACCAAACTAGGCGCGCTCTATAATCCCCAATTGAACCCGAATTAATCCGAACTCGGGCCGATTCAATCCAAATCTGTCCAGCCCATATATCGCGCCTCTCGGGTTACTAATTCTCCATTAGTTCATCATACTAATCCACCAAATCGACCACAATCACAACCCCTAATCACCTCCACAATTTAACCCCTAAATCACCCTAATTAAACCCTAAATCCCGTCTAGAAATGTAAATTAGCCTAATTAGGGTTTAGGGTCAAACTCACCGGGTGTCCTAAGCTTGAAACGGCCAAACACGCGATGAAAAGGGGCTGGGCAGCGGCGGTCCCTTGCCGGAACAGTAACGGCGGCGGCGGCTCCGGCGAACGACGCGAACAAAGGCGACGAACTAGACGATTCCGCGGCTTAGGGAGGGGAAGGGACACGGCCAGAGAGTGTGGGACGGCTGGGCGAGGCTGGGTGCGACGGTGGTGGCGGCGGAACAGCTCCGGCGGCGGCGGAGCTCCTCCGGCGAGCGGCGGCGAGGGCGTCCAGAACAGGGGAGGCGTCAGGGAGGAAGAAGAACAGGAGAGGGGAGAGATGGCTATGGGTGGAAGGACTGCCGGCTGAGGAGAGAGGGACGGCGGCCCACGGCGACCTCGCGGCGTCGACGAGGCGGCGCGGCGAGCTGCTGTTCGCGCGCCTCGCGGGCAGGTCGGCGACGGCGCGACGGCTGGCGGGAGGGCGGCGACGAGCTGGTCCGGTGAGTTGGGGCGAACGGCGACGGGCAGCAAGGAAAAGAAATAGAAGCAGCAGCGTCGGGCAAAGCTGAGCAGGAACGAAGCAGAACCAGAACCAGGCGAGTTCGGGGAAGGAAGAAGGAAGAAGAAGAAGAGAAAGGAAAAGAAAGAAAGAAAAGAAAAGAAGAGAGAGAGAGAGCAGGTGGGAGTTGGTGAGCTGAGGGGACGTTGGCAGACGTGCGCGGAGGAGAGAGAGAAGGAGAGAGAGAGAGAGAGGGAGAGAGAGAGAATAAAAGGAAATATTTGAACATTCAAATATTAATCGCGATCCGATGGCCCAATTTAAAAACCGAAAGTGGTCTACGGGTCCAAAATAAGCCTCGCACATAAAAAGGGACAAAGGCCAAATTAATTAGACCAAATCATAACGAGGGAGGTCTACTAGTCCAAATTCGCACGTGGTCAAAAACTCCCATTTTTCCATCATTCCTGACAATCTCAACGTTGGCTACCATAATATTGACACCGTCCAATTTATTTTGTCCCGAAACTCCCGGAAATCGACTGCCAAGTTCGGGATCCAAATAACGGCCAAATTTGATCGAGTGCGATTCTAGCGAAATCTCTAATTTAAAATGATAACCGGGAGTGATCAGTTCCCGGGCGAGATTTTACTATAAGCACACTGACAAATTACGCGTTTTATAAATCCCAAAAATGGGCCGAAATTCGGGATGTCACAACTCTTCCCCCCTTATAAAAATTTCGTCCTCGAAATTTACAATCCAAACCGACTACTCGAACAAATGGGGGGTATTGGTGTCGCATCACTTCCTCGCTTTCCCATGTGGCGCCTTCCGTCCCGTGATGTTCCCAGACAACTTTGACTAACGGGATCGTCTTGTTTCTCAAAATTTGCTCCTTTCTGTCCTCGATTCGCACTGGCTTTTCCACGTACGACACCCTGTCGTCCACGTCTACCACCTCATGATTTAGCACGTGGGTCGGGTCCGGTTCGTATTTCCTCAACATCGACACGTGGAAGACGTTATGAACCTGCGACAAATTCGGCGGCAAGGCGAGACGATAGGCCAACGTCCCAATCCTTTCCAAAATCTCGAACGGGCCTATATACCTTGGACTTAGTTTCCCTTTCTTGCCAAACCTAGATAGTCCTCTCATCGGCGAGACCTTAAGAAATACATGGTCGCCAATTTGAAACTCCAATGGTCTACGCCTTCGATCCGCGTAACTTTTCTGACGGCTCTGAGCTGTTCTCAACCTTTCCCGGATAGTCTTTACTGTTTCCACTGACTGCTGAACCAACTCTGGACCCGTTATACTTCTTTCTCCTACCTCATCCCAACACAACGGTGTTCTGCAAGCCCTGCCATATAGTGCTTCGAATGGTGCCATTCTGATACTCTGCTGGTAGCTATTGTTGTAGGCGAATTCGACCAAATGCAACTGTTCCTCCCAACCGCCCTTAAAATCCAAAACACATGCTCGCAGCATGTCTTCCAATGTCTGAATCGTCCTTTCAGACTGGCCGTCCGTCTGAGGATGATAGGCCGTACTGAATTGCAACTTAGTCCCCATGGCCACTTGCAGACTTTTCCAAAAATTTGCAGTAAACCGGGGATCACGGTCCGATGTGATTGATACCGGTACTCCATGAAAGCGAACTATCTGACGCACATATAATTCTGCCAACCTTTCTAGCTCGAAGTCTTTTCGCACCGCCAGGAAATGCGCTGACTTGGTCAATCTGTCCACTATCACCCAAATAGAGTCGTGTCCCCTCTGGCTTCTTGGCAGTCCTGTTACAAAATCCATTGTAATGTGCTCCCATTTCCATTCTGGGATTTCCAACGGCTGCAACATCCCACCAGGCTTACAATGCTGTGCCTTCACTTGTTGGCACGTCAAGCACTTAGCCACATGCCTGGCCACATCCGCTTTCATTCCGTTCCACCAATAGTGTTGTCGGAGATTCTGGTACATTTTTGTGCTGCCCGGGTGAATACTATAACTGCTCCTATGAGCTTCCGATAGAATCTCTTCCTTAAGTCCCAAATCATCGGGCACGCATAACCGTCCTCGAAACTTAAGAATTCCGTCCTCGGACACTTGGAAGTCCGGTTTCCTCTTAGTGCCATCCATCTCTAGGATCTTCTGAATCTCAGGGTCCGTAGACTGCAACGCCTTAATCTTGGCTTGCACTTC